CCCCAAAACCCCAAAACCCCAAAACCCCACTTGAGAATAAAAATTATATTTACTTTAAATATTCACAAGCTCAGAATAGAAATGTCTTTAAGGAGATCAGCAAGATCAAGGCCGTCTACAGGTGGGTCCTCTCTTAAGAGATATTGAAGGATTCGCTACAGAAATAGAGATTCTTTGCAGAGCTTTGAGATGTCTTATAAATAGTCTGGATTGGTTACAAGTCAAATTTGAAATTCTCAATGAAGTAGTCATAGTTGTGGTATTTAAAGAGGGCTGGCTAAGAACAAATCTATTAGTGCTCTATCCGGTTTGAACTTCATAATTATTAGTAGAAATAGGGAAATATTTAGGGAGCCTCATGCAAACTTTAAAATTTGTACTAAGCCTTGTTTAGGAACAACAAGAGGTGTAAGATTAGGAGTGAAATATGCATGGGACCAACCGGAAAAGAAGCCTATTGAGTATGAAAGTGAAAAATCAACTTCTAAATAAATTGTCAGATACTTGGGACAAGAGGAGATCTAGGTACATTCAAGGGTATACCAAAATTAACGAGAGAAATACTACAACATGGAGAGAAACCGACCCAGATCCTTCAGAAACTCTCGAAAGTACTAACTACCACCTAAAAACAAGAACACACATCCCTTCCCCTGAAAAACCCTCATCTATCAAATCCCCCAACACCTTTCAAAAACCTTCAAACCTCCCATCCAAAAAACTCCGCTTTTACAAACCTGGCCTAAACGCCCCATCTCTCCATCCTCCCCCAAACCCCACTTCTCCCCTCTCCCAGGCCCAGTCCTCTCCTCTCCGTCCCTCAGCTCCTTCCCAGCCACCCCTCTCCCCCTCCAATCCCTACTCCACTCCTCGCTACACCCCTCATGCCCAGCCAAAACCCCTCTCACCCCAAAAATCCCACACAAGTCATCCTCCCCAGCCAGAAGTCCAGCCTGTTCCTTCTGCAGCTCTTGAAGCTAAGCTTCAAGAGCTGCTTGAAGAGAACGAGTCTCTTCAGCAAGCACTTGAGGAGGAGCAAGAGAGGGCGAAGGCGGGCCAGGACCAGATTTTGTGTCTAAGAGGGGAGCTTGATAAGGTGAAGATTGAGAAAGAGAAGGAGGCTAGGACACTGGAGGGGAAGGAGAGAGAGAAGTACAAGCAAGAGATAGCTAATTTGAAGTATCAGATGAGGAGCTTACAGGATAGGGAGGAAGCTTATATGTCAGAAAAAGCACATCTGAAGTTGGCTATTGAGAATTATGAGATGACTAATAAGAGATTGAGGGAGCAAGAGCTTAGGTCACAGAAGGAGATTAATGCTCTGCATGAGAGGGTTTCTGATAGGGAGGTTAATATTGGAGAGCATAAGAGATTGAAACAACAGCTTGACTCCTTGAAGCAGACATTTGAGGTAGGAATTTAGGGATTATTATAGTTTGACCTTAAAACTGAGAAGGATAAAAGTGAAGCTCTGCTCAGAGAAAACCAAATTCTTAGAGACCAACTTTCCAAAAATCTTACACTGATCCAACAGTTAATGCTCCAAATGGAGACCCTCAAAGCTACAGTTCAAAGGCAGGACCAAAATATGGTTGTGGCGTAAGTCTTTACCAAACCTTTCCTATAGGTCTAACGATGAATACTTCAAACATCAGTTATCAGCTTCTCCAAATCTCTCCCCTCCGTCAAACCCAGGGCCACAACAAATCATCCCTTCACCCAAAGGGATCCAAGGGTCATTGTCAACTCCAGCTCTTAACGACTTAAACGATCGGGCTGGAATCAAGCCTAAGAAGCACTGCACCATAAATTGTATATTCTCGCCTTACGGATGCGAGCAATGCGAAGGCAAGAGATAAGCACTGAGCCAAGCCAAACAGATATTTCCAAATCGCTGATTCAATTAGCTCTGGTTTTAAAGGGGTTTTGGGGTTTTGGGGTTTTGGGG